CAAAGCACAATTGTTAGCATCAGTAGTTCTCCGCAAAAGTAAAAAAAAAATTGTATTTCGGCGTGAAGTTGGCTTACCATTTCGTTTTTAGGCTGTATTTTTTGAGCCCTTCGGCGGTATGAGCTGGAACTTGAAGAAAAATTAAGCACAATTGAAGCACTAAATGCTGGACCTATATTTGGAATTGGTGCTTCATGTTGGTCAGCCAACTTCACGGAGCTAGACCGAAGCATTTATCTCGTTTGCGGTGTCCAAAAATCACCACTCCTGTTTTTTTTTCTTCTTCTTTTTTTTTCAAAGAGAGCAAATCAGCATAATTCCCTCAAGTGCTTCAGAACTCGCTTCGCACAGAGAATAAAAATCATGGAAGTTTTCGAGAATCGACGTTGAGGAACTCTCCATTAAAAAAATAAAGAATGACAGGAAGTGTACAACGCCGCGAACCGAGATACGTGGTTTGAGAATTTCGCCATCGATGTAGGCTGTAGCGTAAGGGCGCAATATTCGTGAACATTCTCGACGTTTTTATAATTTATCGAGTCCTCTGTCACTTTTTACTTCTCAAAACCAACTTTTTCCGACGTCAAATAATTATTCGCTACGGGACACCACAAAATCATCCGAAATCGTGTTTTTTCTTCAGGTGAATCTGAAATATTTTCCCTTTACCAAACATTTGAATTTTGGTCGAGGGGGGAGCGGTTGTGTTCCGGAGGCCCGGGAGCCCCCCCTCCCTCCCAAGATATCTATACTTTGAAAGGCGCCCCGAGCGAATCAGAATCAAAGCAACTACGGCGTACAAACATACAAACAGTCAGCGACGAGTCCCACTGTATAAGTCAATCGGCGCTCAGGAGAAAGGAAATCAAGATTCCTGAAAAATTGCCTGCGTCGAGTTTTCTATGATGCGAAAGTAATGTGCGCCTTGTGATGAACTCGCACCGCTGGAGTTTGAGAAACCCGCAGTGGCGCGTTTGAGCATCGTTGTGAAAACTCGTGTGCCTGCATGTATGGAGAGCTCAGGGACCATAAGTGAGAGAGAGTACAGTCCATCCGATTTGAAGTGGTGCCTTCAGTTCGATGAATATACCAACCATTATTGCCATGTGAAACCTCCTTGCGACTCGTCTTTTAACTAGTCGTTCGGTTGTTTCAACCGTATCCTTATTTGAGGGGCCTGTAGGGCAAGGCGCATAACGACGGTGAAACTACCAAACCACGTATCTCGGTTTGCGACGTCGCAGACTTCCTGTCATACTTTATTTTTTAAATGAAAAACTACTTAACATCCAGTCTTGAAAATTTCTGTGATTTTTCCTCTTTGTGCGGAGAAAATTCCGTGGAAATTTCAAGGAATGATATTGATTTTGTCTACTTCAAAAAAATAAAATGCGAGCGTAGATTTTTAAACACCGCAAACGAGATACGTGGTTTGGTAGTTTCACCGTCGATAAGTGCAGTTTTTGAAAAAATTAACATATTCCTGGACTCATCTAAAACTAGTTTGAAAGTATATTTTGTGAACAATTCACAAATAAAATCAAACTTTAAAGCATCAAAAAGTGAGTTTAAACTTCGATCGCTCGCTTTAGGCTTCATGTAATTTTGAAACTTTAAACACGAATTTCTTGAAACTCCCTGTACTTATGCGCCTTCCTCTCCAAACCCATCATTTTAGAGCAGCGTACTAAGATGCAAAATGAAATTGCACAGGACCACGAATTTTACCATTATGGCAAATTGTGATCTCACTGAAAAAAGACATTAAACTCGAAGGGATCAAGAAAACGTGTAATTTTTGTCTCGCCTACCCACGTATACGGCTAAATCTCACCGAAGAGTTTGAAAGGCCGGCTAGAATCGATTAATTTCGTTGAACATAGACCGCTCGTTAGAAAAAATTGAGGAGTTACAAAGATTCAGGAAGAGGCAAATTTCGGCTTTCAACGTCGCAAAAATTCAAGATGTGTCAAATTTCGGCATTCAACGGCGCATCTTTTATACAGTTTTCACGGGTGGGGTATGCAACCATGAACATAAATAGTGTACAGGCTCTAACGGGGGCTTCTAAACTACAACGTAGGTATGATATTAATCCCTCTCTAAAAAATTGAATTTTACGACTTTCAGGCGTTTCATGGCTTATAGAGTGTATTGAAAACGATTTTATAAATTCCATCAAACATTGTAAAAAAATTAATGCAATTTTCCATCTCCGGGTGTATGCCTCCGAACCGCACCCAAAACGAGTTTTCCGCTTTTTTCAGACGATTCTAAATTGAACTGAAATATGGATGCATTATCCGTAACGGAGTTAGGCATTGGGAGTAACAACGGTAAACTAGATTATGGAAGGAAAAATTGTTTCATGCAAGTCAAATTTGCTCAAGCAATGAAAAAGAATTTTCCCAACAAAGAACCGGGCGCTCAGATAGGCAGCGTTGCCGGTTCTGTGCTTCAACACGTCCGTCGTAGGAAAACAAGAGTCTTTGTATTTGCGAATAAATTTTTTTTTTCTAATCACAGCAGTTACAGAGTACGCGGATATTTTTCGCAGAATTTTTCCTCCTGTGAGGAGCATGCTCTTTTCCTATACACTGGCGAGGCGTGCTAATCGACTATCGATATTTCCCCATTTGAAGCTATGGCAGAGAATCGACTATTAAAATGTTCGTTGCAAACACCCTGTTTGTCGGTCCTTTTCCATCGGTTTAAATGGTAAATCCATCGATATATCGCAAATCACACCACGCAACTGTACTAGTCTCTCACAATACGTTTTTGAGATGACCCATAGGTTAGAGTTTAGCGGAGATGAACCGAAAATACTCGGCCACTGTATAAGAACTCCAATTTATTTGAAGAAATCAATGACAGATAAGTCGTTTCTAAATTAGACAATCGATTTGGTTCCTCTCTGCTGGACTTGATCCATTTGTAGTAAGGAATATTAGGTGATTCCCTAAAAACCGGCCACACCGCATAGCACTGCCAAGGTCGGCAAGTTTGTCAGACTCGAATTAATTCCAAGTTCCCCATCAATGAGTTCTTACAGCACAGAGATTCGGCTGAAAGTAAAGACCTCCTCCATCTTACGATAATCGCGGAAAAACACTTCTGTTAAATGAAAAGAGCTTTAGTAGGCTTTATTGATAATAATCCACAGCTCAGGTGGACGGATTTTCAGTAAATTGAATCTAAGTTCAAGGACAAAGTTTCAATTACGGTAGCGTTAAAAATTTAACCGAGTGACGAAGAAAAATCTCTTTTGACAGTGGGTCGTCAAGTATGATGTTAGGGCGGGTTAGCATCGGCCATTTTGAATATTGCGTAGCATCCTAGTGCGCAAGGGTTGGATGGAACCACTACTCTACCAGTGCCGTAGTATCGTTTTTGAAGAGGGAAGCTCAAAAAAATCATAATATTTCTTATGCAGATCGTGAAGTTAAGAGTGTGTTTCAGACTTCTCTAATGTGCTCATCGTTATTTTTGAGCCATTTTCATGAAGAAGTAACTCCTCGTTTTGCCCCATCTGAAGTCTGCAACAGACCTCTTATATCGTTATAAAATTTCCCTAAAAAAAGGCAGATCACGGAGAAAAATTCCTGGAAATATGAGATGATGGTCTTTTACCAGGCAAAAGTTTTCGAACGGGAAAATCTGGAACCCGTGCTCCCCCTTTCAGAAATGCTGCTCTTTGTAGAATGACTTTTTTCAATTTGATGGTTCCTGGGGGATTTAACTTCACTTTTAGGCTTATAATCAAGAAATGCAGGTGAATCCCATGTGCGTAAAATGTGATTTTCGGAGAGGGAGAGGGGAGGTGCCTCTATGATTTTTGAATTCGATGTTCTAATCTATAATTTTGAAGGTATTATTTTGTTTTGTTTTTTTCATTGCTCGCTGTTGAAAAGTAACATTAGCTCTTGCTACTGTAAGATATTTTAAATCTCGGGGCGATACAAATATTAAAACTGCACGGATGTGCGTGAAGTATCTCGACTTTTGAAGGCATTTTTGTGATTTGGTTATTTTATTATTTGCGGTTGGACAAATCACACGGCAACATGTAATTCAACAAGGTACTAAGTTATACTTGTTTTAACTTAAACAGAGCATTTAAATGTGTATTAACTTAACTTTTTAAGATTGTCCCATAGTAGCATTCTTTTTACTCTTTTTCCGCATGGTATCCTCATTTCTTGTAAACATTTTGCCAACGCTTTTTTTCTCCGAGGCCTTTAAACGTGAAATACGAATAATAGTTCTCAATTGACCCTCTTCTGGACTGAAAAATCTTCTGTACAATTGTAATAGTTAAATCATCATACCAGGTGATGCGATGCCATTGCTCGAATATCTTTAGCAACCAAATTCGTCATTATAAATTCAGGCAATATATTTCATCCGCAAAAAATTTGCCGATTCGAAGATCGCCCAAAACATCCGAGGTGTCGTTTTTTTATCAGTTCATACTTTTTTTCATCGCCATCGATGGCATTATTTTCCTGCCCGACGCGGCGGAGGCTAAATTTTTTACCACCAGTGACCCTCTTCGGTGGGCGTTGGTTTTGTCTCCGAGCCGAGATCCAATGAAAATCCGATCCTTTGCGAGTCCTAGCGGAAGAAGAGACGCAAGATTGCCGAATCGCACGATAAAATACACATATTAGCAGGATAAAGCGGCGATATTCAGAGCATTCCGGCAACGACCCACTCGCGAGGTTGCAGGACGTGGTTCAGGATAAGCGAGGTCCGCAATGAGTTTGAATGGGAGAAAGGTTTTTTTTAAAGCCATCTGGCAACGATGAGGAAACCTGTCGGATCGGTCGGAAACTGAGCTCCGTGACAAGAGAGACAATTGCTCGCCGTTTAATTACACACGTGCGAATTATGCGCATTGGCTTATCCAGGTTAGGATTCCGCGCGGTGGTGGTGGGGGGCTCGGAGGGAAAACGCTGAACCTCGCGTTTATCTGCGAAAGTTGCACAGTGTCCGTTGTAGCGACTTAAACGCCCGGTCAAGAGTGTAGGCGACACCTCGCGCACGAGAGCCATCCCGCAATTTGAAATAAGCGCGCGCGGAGTAAGTACACGGATCGACATAGTTCGATAGGATCATCATCGTCTCCTATTCGTTTTTTCCCCGATTTCGTGCGCTGTCCTCGTCGCTGCGGTGCTTTTTTCTAGTTCTCGCTCTCTGCGAGTAGTCGAAAGTCGCCGACCTTGAAAAGGCTTCGAAATTCGAAGACATTTTCCCGGCAATTTTTTTTCTGTGATGAAATTGTCAGTAGACGTCGTGCTCCTGTTTTGAAGCCGCGCGCGGAGTCTCCTCCTCGCGTCCAACGGGTTTACTCGCCTTCCAAGTGGCTATTTTCACGATTCGTCGGGCTTGGGTCCGCGTGATGCACGCGCGTTATCGTGTCTCGGCTTTGGGATTGTGAAACGCGCGCCCTTTGCCTTTCGCCCGCGAGAGGCATTGAAGTACACTTGAACTCTGGAGTGCGGTCACGGATTGCAACGCTACTCGCCGACGCAGTTCCTTCGCTCCTGAAAGGAAGGCTTCGTCTCAACAAGGAAGCTTCATTCTAGCGATACTGAGTTTTTCTCGAAGTTTGTTCGTCGTCCTCGGATTTTTTCGACTCCACAAATGATTTTCAAGAAGCTCGTAGAATCCTCGAAAGGACTGTTGGAAAAATTCTTCCACAGTAACTGCGAACATCCTCATGAGACTTTCGATCCTGAGAGCCAGCAGGTACCTTTTAATTCAAATTTTAATATTAATGAGTCGTTTTCCCGACGAAGGAACGTAACTCCATTCCAAGGTTGCAAAATTGACTCAAAGAATTTTTACAAGACCGTACCTTTTAATTATCGTCCAAAATTTCCTTGGTTTTTGCATGAGATCGGAGTAAAAATTTGAGAAATCTTCAATCAGAAATGCGAGATTCTTCGAGTAGAAATGCAATTTGTGAGATGAAATTCGATAATATTGAAATGTAGTTACGTTCTATTGTGAGGGAAACGACTGTTGGTGAAAGAACCAGGGGGTCCTTCGTGAAATACGGAATATTGAAGTTTTCGACCCCCATCCCTTCTCCCTTCGTAACGCTTTTGTGATGTGGGTCCTTATCTTTTAGCACGTTATAACGAAATGGCGTAACACTCTCCTCAAAACCCTTACTTTAAGAAGAGCGTTACGTATTTTATTAACGGCCCCTGAACATTAAATCAGTGCGACGCCACAAATTTCCTGTCTCGTTTAATTTTTTTAAGAAAAGGCTTATTCGTCGTTTAGTGAGAAATTCTGTTGGATTTTTCTTCGTTCTCGTGACAAAATTCTCTGCAAATTTCCCGAAAACTGGCGAGCAGTGATCTCTATAAAAAAACAAATTTAAGTGGAGATTTCCAAAGACCGGAATCGAGATACGTGGTTTGGTAGCTCTGCCGTCGATTTCTTTTCAGTGTTGATTTTTGGCATCTAGTCATTATCTTGAGAAACGGTTTCAGCCAAATCCGGGGGGAGGAGTTGTTGGAAGACGGAAAAACTTCATAAAATACTTGATACTTGAATACTTTAAAAGTTATTGATTCAAATGACTCCCTAAAAGAAATCTGGGAAAAGACAACCCACCACTCTCCTCCCGTCATCCCCAGATGGTACTCCTACGGAGAAATTGCCATCAATTGGAACCAGTTTCAAAGACAAACATGTGCGAGATGGTATTTTAGTTCACAACTTTTAGTTTCACCACCACAATGTCGGTTCAAGCTGTAATCCGAACTCCATATCTATGTTATGAAGCTTTTGGCGTGGTTCGTTGAACCACGCTGTTTCATCAAGCTTGCTTGATAACTAGATCTGGTTTGTCGAACGTGATTTGCGAGCGCTCGACTTTTACAACTTTCTGAACCGGCCTTCAGTATATACCGACAGATTAAGTCAAATAATTTATACCTCCAAATGACGCCAAAAAACCCCCCTAAATTCGATCATTGAGGGACCGTTTGTAGTAAAAGGGACTTAAGTCCACGAAAATTCATCATTGAATATTTGATACCAGAGCAATAAAAAATGGTCTAAGCGAATTTTGTGATAACCACCTCCCCCCCTCCCCTAACAGTCAAACTTGTTGCTATTCTTTGTTTGCCGTTCAATTAACGCACTTCCGGATAAACTACGTAAAAGTTACAATTCCATGCTCAGAGCATGAAATAATGGAATTATAATGCAAATTTGTGTCCTTTATAGCCTGATAAAATGAGCTCAACCACTGATGACTTTTCTTTTCAGGAATTCGTAGAAAGTTTTTCTTTGAAATCGCTCAAAATCCGTTTTTTCGACTAAACTCAAGAAAAGTCGCCTCTCTGCAAATTGTTGTCTGTCAAACGATCACACGGTTTTCCGCTTGATTTCTGTTTTAAAAAAGGGGAGGGCAAATATTAATATCGCACAAAGTCCAGCGGGCTCGAAATCGATAAAATTACCGAAGGTCCCAATACTGCCGTGCTAAGGAAGAACGCCGTATGAACCCTCAGGCGTTGCCAAATTTCCTTGGATGAAACACGAATTTCCTGGTAAACTTATGAATATTTTCCTTCTAATTTTTCAGATAATTTTGTTCGCAATTTCACCTGAAGTTCCTGAAAATGTCAAGGAAAAATATTCATAACTTTCCTCATAAATAAACATTTTATCGAAGGAAATTTGGCAACTGTCTAATGTTCATACGGCGTTTTTCCTTAGCACGGCAGAATAGTCCAAGCGCAAGCACCGAGACTAAGAAATTGTCATTAGTTTTCCATCACTAGCCTCGTGCCTCTATCGCTCTCATTTCTGAATGGCGCTATATACGATCGGTTGCACTCCGCGATGCGAAATTCCGGCGAGAACTCGCAATTTTTTCATGATAGGCCGACATTTGGATCATAATTTTGGCGACACCGGTTTAGATTCGCGAGTGCGAAATCAGCCGCCTTGCAACAGCTGCCAATTCCTTTCGCAAAAATAAATCGCAATGATGAAACACGATTAACCACGTTCATGTATCTTAGGCCGAAAACAAAAGCAAAGTTCACTTTGATGTCGGTAGGCACTGTAATAAGGCGATTAAACGATTGATTTTAATCAGACACCTGACTATTGCCGACGCGACGCGGAACGTTTTGAAGATAAATATAGGTAAGATGAAATGAAAAGCTGATAAATCATCGGGAAAACTAAGGAATTTTCACGTCGCATCGAAACGTGATTATTCTAATTTTTTTCTTTTTCTGATAATTTAAGTACTTTTGATTTGCATGGTGTGTGCTTAGAGACTTCACTTGAGAGGACTTACTCTTATTGGACTTGGACTTATCATTATGTTTTTAGATTCGGGCTAGAATGCATTTGAAATTGAAAAAGTCAGAAAAGTATTTATTGAAAGAGAGGAAAAAGTTATGAAAAGTTTATTTCTTCAAATATTCTTTACATTCTGATTTAAATGAAACGGTAAGAGTCAGAGGAACTTAATTTGTTTATAATGTTGCAAGGTTTCGCTTAAAATCTGATTAACGGGTACTTTGTTCTACATTTCCGGAGAATTTCCATCAAATTGCGAAGAACTCGTAGAAAATAAGAATATGTTTTCCCGAACTCAACTACATAAACACATATTCAAGCAATATTTCCCAACATTGCGATGAAATTAAACCCCGCCGGCTCAAACCCCTTCAAATAACGAGTGTTTAAGGCTTTTGTTGTTCGTGCTGTTTTAATACCGAGCTCTAAAATGTCGTTGAGCATACTCTTGCACTATTCATTCCCCCCCTTTTTTTTCGTTTTCCCGCAGCAATCAAGCACACTTAATTAGGAAAGTTACATAACCGGTCGATTTAAGATTTATTCCATTCTTTGTTTTCTTCTCCCATTCTAAGTCAGCGTTATTATTTTAATGGTCACCGTTGCAAGTAAATTAGGACGGTTTTTTATGACTGATTATTTCTTTTGTAACAGTCGCCATGCATTGCATCTAACTTTTGCGAAAGGAGTTTCGCCTAGCACGAAACCTTGACGGTAACATAAAAATCAACCGAAGAGACCTCATAGAAAAACAACGCAAATATGAAAAAATTGGTGAAATTTTAATTGAAATAGAGCAAGGCGGTGGTATTTTCTAAGATGATTCGCAAAAAATCCTAAAATAGTGGCCGTATAAGCCAATGGGTTTTTACTGTATTTTTACATCATTCAATTTTTGGAAGAACGAAAACTTAAGCGCCTGAGGGGGGAATAAGTCCCTCTGTGACGAGCAAAATTTAAAAAAAAAAACCTCACACATTGAAAGTATTAAAAAAAAAAATTATGTGAGCGAATCTTCCCATTACACTTCACCTACATGACGAAAGATACTCGTAGCTTCTCAAATAAACCATCAAACGATTTAAAAATCACATTAAGCACACGTATTATTTCCGAAATCTCCCCGTTACTACTAAAATTAGTTCCAAAACAGGATTTCCAAACCCGACTTCTCGTTCCCTCGTTTCATTTCCAGGATGGAAAAAAACCCACGAACAGCAATTAACGCGACAACCCCGCGAATCTTCTGTAGGAAGGAAATGTTTGGATATCAATCATTAGATCTCGAATTCTACTCACGAAAACTCGGAAGCGACGCACAAAGATGCAATATCAGCCTCGTTGAGATTTCGAAGGCTGTGAGGGACGATATTGCACTGCTCTTTGTGTGGTTACATCGCAAAACTCATTGTCAAAAAATTCTAGAGGTGTTCGAATAAGTGTTGTAAAATACCCGGGTACTGCTTAAGATTGCGGGTATTTACCCCGTAAAGACGTATGGACGGTGAAACTCCCAAATCACGTATCTTGGTTTGCGACGTTGCTAGACTTCCTGTCATACTTTGTTTTTGAAATGAAAAACAACTCAACAGCAAGTCTGAAAAACTGCTGTGATTTTTCTTCTACGTGCGACGAAAATTCTGTGAAAATTTCAAAGAATGTTGCTGATTTGTTTGATTTTTAAAAAATGAAATAGAAGTAGAGATTTTAAAACACCGCATACGGAGATATGTGGTTTGGAAGCTGCACTGTCGACACGAGGAATAGGAGGTATGGAAAAAGTGAATTATGAAATATAAAGGTGACACTTTTTCTGCCTGGCAAAAATTCCATATCAGGATCCGCGTAAATACCTGGTAAATTTTGCCGGGTATTTATGGATTTTCTGCCGGGTGAATACCCATAGAGTATTTTCCCGTCTGACATCGTTGGGAAAAAGCTTTGGGATTAAATTTAAAATCGCCACTTGCAGAGAAAATTTTCATCATGTATGGCCAGGTCATCAGCTTAGTCGAGGCAGATTATCGAGTTATCGGGAGATCAAAATTTCTAATTCATGTATGCAAATTATTCATAGACAGAACTTATTGCGAAAAAATTCTAATGGATCAATTTTGCTACGCATTACTTGATATCCTTACGAAATGGATTCATCGTCAGTACTAAACAGTCTTCTTCTTACTACATTTTAGTGCAAGAGGGTATATAGGTTGGCAAAGGGATACTGTCTACGAGAGATTGGGAGTGTATAGAGAGTAATGATTCGAGGATTGAAAAAAAATTCAATCGGATTAAAAGGGATGCTCAGTAAAATTTCTTTGAATTAGTGTTCTTTCCAACATAGCCAGAATTCTTGCATTGGCAACCAGAATCCCTGTATAGAACAGAACGAGACAACGACTTTCAGCGCG